CCCCCCCACCAGACAGACAGACAGACAGCCCCACAACCAGCAGAAGACAACCACCACCAGCAGCAGCAGGAGGAGCAGCCAGCCAGCCGGCCCGACAAAAAGACGATCGACGAACGATGAGCACTGAAAAGGACACCTACCGTGCTCTTACATACTAGATGTGTGTCCGCTCCGTGGGGTGGAATGAAATGAAATGTCATGTGGTGTGACGCTGACAAAAAGGGGGCAGCTAGCTAGCTAGGCAGACAACTGAAGGCCAGACACTCAGACAGACAGACACCGATCGACCCACACAACACAACACAACGCAACGCAATGCAACAAACACCGCACGACATCAGAAACACGCCAGACAGCAGCGACAGCGACAGTAAGTGGCAAGTGGCAAAACCAAAACCAACAGGCGCGCACACAGCAAGCCGATCCGATAGACAGACACGCAAGACATGACGACATCACAAGGCAGCCAATCCAATGAGTGAGGGGATGAGTAAGAACAAATATGGCGGTCACCCCGCTGCATATATTGCATTTTGGTATCCATCTGACCTGATGTGATCATACATACATAAGTATGTTACACACTCTCACTCATCAGACACTCTCATCTCAGAAAGCCAGACAGCCAGCCAGCCAGCCGGAATAGAGAGAGATGCAGAATGCATGACATTCCCTCTCTCTCTCTCTCTCTCTCCCACCCTCCCGCCCTCCAACACACACATGTTCTATGCTACAGCACTCTCTCCCTCCCATCCATCCATCCATCCAGACAATAAGTAGCTCTCCTCTTCTCTCACCTCGTTCGTCTCATCTACATGTCTATCGACCTGTCTGTCCATTCTCCTCTTCTCAGCAAGACAATGCCGAGCATTCCCGGACAGGGTGGTATCATCTCGACAGGCGTCTCGCAGCCCGCCGGGATGATGCCGCCATGTTCGCGAACGGCCGGCGTCGCCCTGCCTTCACTTCCCTAGTCAACAAGACAGTGTGTGATGCGGCCTCCCTCTCTCCCCCTCTCCCCTTGTCTCTCTCTATGCAGCGTTAGGATTGGGATTGCGCTCGTTCTCGTAGCCGTACCGCTCGTACCTCTCTGTCCCGCCACCCATCATGCCTACACACACACACACACACACACACACAGTGGATGAGGTGGGCGGATGCGCATTCGGTGTGTGGCAGGGAGGGAGGGAGGAGGGTGCCAACGGTCGGTGCTGACCGAAGGTGGCTTGCTGCGGCAGTCCCCCGACGCTGGGGTAGGTGCCGGACTTGTACGAGCCGACGAGGTCGCCCTCGGTGTTGTAGCACATGACCATGCCAGAGGGGAGGTCCACATCAAGCACCACCGAGTCGCCCGTGTTGACGGCCCCAGACAACACCTGACCAATGCAATCAACGAACGGCACTCGCAGTGGAGTGGGAGTGTACCGCTTTCTATGTGTGTGATGGGTCGTGTGGTACGGTATGGTACCATTTCTGCCATGGTGTCTTCGAGTATGCGTGTGATGGCTCTCCTGAGCGGCCGGGCGCCGAATGAGGGGTCGTAGCCCTGGTCTACCAGAAAGTTGCGCATGCGATCAGTCACCTGATTGATGCACACACACACAGACAGAGAGAGAGGTGGATGGGATGGATGGAGGCGTCTATCGGTTTGTGTGGGGGTGAGGGTGAGCTTGCCTGCATGTTGATGCTCCTGGTCTCTGTGATGCGGTCGTACAGCTGCTGCAGCAGCACGTCAGCGATCTCGCCAACCTCCTCCTTGCTCAGAGG